ATTCTTGNAAGCGGCCGTGGCCTATTATAAGTTACTATCTCGAAATTTGCCTGCAGTGAAGGAAGATTACGAAGCCCCTCAGGTCATCAGGTCTTAAGGTTAAGATCTGAAGTCGCTATCTCCCGAATTCAAACCAGGAGTCGCCCCCTCCCCCAACCCACACGGTCTATAGCTCTCATTAGTCTTTTCCTTTTTCTTTGTTCTTAGTAATGGTGGTTGTGGGAAATTAGATTCTGTAAATGGAAGATATCGAAAGATTAATGATGATATAAGATGATTTGTGATGATACCACCTAAACCTCACAAGAAAAGCCCTGTACGTTACTGTCTAAGTACCGCCATATATCTAATCACACGTAAGTAATAAATATTAACCTCAGATTACGTACATAGTAAAAACAACATCCAACTAAAGAATAACATCCTTAAGCCAATGTAAGACATGAATGTACATAACAAAGCACGTCACAAATCAAATAATAACTACCCCAGCTTTTTAATTACAGCTGTACAATAAACAATAACAATAACAATATATCTACACTTCAGGTAAAATGCAACAATACTCTATTAAACGCAGGTAAGGTTTCTTGAGTAAAGGTTATTTACATTTCTATCCTGTCATTTTAAACCATTAGAATGGATTTCCCTAAAAGAGGCCACTAATCATAGATAAAATGTCTTAATTTATTCGCAGCCGTTAACTTCGAACATCAGCCGGACCACGGAATAAAGTCCTTCATGATGCTTTTCAGCACTTCCGGTCAAAGGATGGAGTAATTCCTTGAAATAGGGAACGCCATCTTCTCTCTTTTCGTATCCTGTTCTCGTACGTAATACTTTTTCAATTCCTTTGACGCCAGATAACTTGTCTCATTGATACAGCATCATTAATTAACCTATGAGTAGTCCTATCTATCAGCTTCTGTGATGTTCCATAAAGAAATGTGTTTCAAGCAGACAAATTTCGAATTAGTGTTAATTTATGTTTCAAAGTTACACGTATGAAGTATTGACAGACGTAACAGCTCTTCTTAGTCGGGGTTCTTTTCATCGCTTTTCTCTGATCTTCAGGAAGAAATACTGAGGAGTGTCCTTTATTTAAATAGTCTGCCACAGGCACGACAAAATTTCAAATGCTTCATTCCTCATAAAATGTGATTAAATTTTGAACAGAATTTTAGTTTTCAAGAAACTGACAAATTCTTTCAAAACTTTTTGCCAAAATTACATCTGAATTATCAGTTCATTTTAATGTTTCGTTCGGCGCGTCCCATGTTATATTATTCATTGCCTTCATTTCAGTCAGAATAACATAAAAGGTTTAACATTCTTTTAGGTTGACGTGGACATAATCGTGGAGTAAAAATATTATTTACAAAATGGAAATCGAAATAAAACAAACCTATCTTTTTATTGGATTTTATTTTGTTCTGATTTATTGGATTCAATTAATATTCAAATTTCAAACGCTTAATTTATTTTATGGAAACTATGTAGGCTAGAATTAAAAATAAATCATCCAGCTGTCTAATTCTCTATGTTTGAAGGGAAAGTAATACTGAAAAATTAATATGGGACAGATAAGTGTGTTTAACTGAAAGGTTTCCGCACAATTCATCATTCTTACAAGTCACTTCATTGATTCATGTACCAAGTTGCAGTCTTCGAGAATTTGTGGAAATATGTCAACAATAAAAACCGCTCTATCTATCTACCGCTCCAGAACCCTATGCTGCACCTTGGCCACCTTTTCAGTTTCTTGATATATTACACAGTCAGTAGGACTCCTTGGACGGGGGATCAGCCCGTCGCAAGACCTCTAGCTGCACACAACACAGAACAAATACAGAATAATCGCACACAGATATCCATGCCTCGAGTGGGACTCGAAACCACGATTTCAGTGTTTGAGCGGGCGAAAACAGTTCATGTTTTAGACCGCCCGGGGCGGCCACAACGATCAGCTAATGGAAACTGCTCTGGCTGACTGAGATCGACGCTCCTCCTGCCTTTGCGATGCACCGTCACATCTTGCTCCATATATTGCCAGTTCGCAGCTTTCGTAACAAAACTGACGGAAATTGAATGGATTTGTTGGAAAGAAAGAATATGGGAAGAGATGAGACAAATTTGTCTGGGGAAATACCGAATGCCCTTTGGGATGAGGAAAGCGGCAGGCCTGCTCTTAAATGGAATGAAATTGAAAATACGACAAAATGATAAATTGTATTATCTAGAAAAAGGGACTTCTTCGTCGTATTGGGGAATTATTTATTAAATGAGTATTTTTTCGAAGAACCTTTATTTGATTTGACTTTTCTCTTCTTCGTCATCAGATCATTTTTATCGTCCATTCTCTGTTGCATCCATTTATTTTAAAATAAGAGTAATCAAATTTCAAAACATCGCAAAAATCGATAAGGAATCATCAGTCACATTGTCAAATCGTGTACGAAATGAAAGTTGATCGCGATTTAACTCAATTAATGGTCCAATGACTTCTCTTAAAGATTCGAACTTACTACACCGGCCAAGAAATCTCTTGATTATCACGTTTATGAAATTCCGAAGTGGGAACCTGCACTGAGCTATGTCAATAAACTTCTCTGTATGAGGTGCTGAATTCTTCTTCTTATTCCAGCTATATAAATTATCTTATTCTTTCTTCTGTTTTGTGTGTTTCGTTTCTTGTCATCATTCCTACTCACGTTGTAATTGGCGCTTTATGGTTGTTATGAAGTAAATATGGAGTCATGGAAAGGACTAAGCGCCTAGTTTCCTCGATGCAACACGGACCGCATGAAAAATTAGGCCTCCAATAATTCTTTTGTTGCATGTGTATTCGTTGCTGCGGTAATATTTTACGGAGCCGTTGCCAAACAAAAGTAAGGGGTTACACATATAGACAGGCAGACTGATGGGAGGGATTCATGAAGTGCGCAATTAAGATGTGCTCAGGTACTAAGATACACATACTAAGTTTCATGAAGACTGGTTCAGCAATTCAAAAGTTAGTAAGGAGGAATGAACAGACACACAGACAAGCAGAGAGCACGGAGATCATGTAAGCCTACATTCGTTCTTGAAAATGAGGAAAGTAGGCTAATAAATTAGAAGTGAATTATATTATTATTATTATTATTATTAGTATTCATGTCTTGAAAATTTGGACGCTAGAAGCCGGAAGATCGCGGGTTCGAATCCCTTTGAGGTCATTGGAATTTCAGTCGACCTGGCAGGGATAACTTTACCGTTTTTTTATTTATGCACTCGATGAATACTGAGTTACACTCCACGTTCTGCGCACTGACTCATCGCAATTTTGCGGTTACGAAAAGATTGATTAAGTCAGATTCAAATTGTACTTAATTATTGTACTAGAGCACGCTAATGAGGCTCATTCGCTACGGTTCTCAGAGTCCGGAATATACCGAATATCTCTTCGGAGGGGAATCCTGGATATCTCGGACGGGCGTCTCTGAAGCGACCCTGTGCATCAAGCATATGTCTTCCCTCGTTTTGAATTTGAAAATTAAAATATTTTTAATTAATTCGCTTAGTGGGGGGTAGAGTCCAACTGGGTCCTCTCGGCACGGAGGCCACAGATTAGCCTATTGTACCCGCCCCGCGTGATTATGATGATAGAGAATTTGGTGGAATGAAGATTTTCAGGGGAAACCGAAGTACTCGGAGAAAACCCGCCAAAGCGCCACTTTGTCCACCACAAATCCCATTTGACCAGATCCGGGATCGAACCCGGGTCGCCGCGGCGGGATGCCAGCGACTAACAGCTTGAGCTATGGCGCGACCTAAAATTACAATATAGAAGCTTTATTCTGATTGGTTCATATTCGGAATAAATGACTTGGTACTATTTTCTCCATCAAATTTTAGATTTTCAGCCTGGAGGTCAGGAGTCGGGCGATGCTGCGGATTTGTTATTCAGACTTCGGCTTTTCGCCATGTTTGTGAGTTGCCTGTACCTTTGCAAATATTTCTATGAAATAGAAGACAATTAGCACACTTCAAATCCAAGAAAGCATTCTTAATGCCAAACTAGAGCACTCTGTCCCTCACGTCCTGCTTCCAGTGTACAGAAACGGTTCAACTCCAACTTTGTTCGCTCCTAATCATCGAAGTTCCATCATGTGAACTCTGCTAATATTTTGTTATGAATTTGTTTAGTGTAGTATGCTATAAAATGGAGACGATTTGGGATTAAATATCTGTGCTACTTATTCGTTGGACATGGCGTTAAACATTGGTCTTGATGTATCATTTGATGACTTGTAGGACTCGAAAAGAATGTGGAGGAACCAAGGGAAATTACTAGTAAGAAAAGATTATGCAAACAATTATGTGTTGCTTCACTGTTTATATCAAAGTTGGCGATTGCTAGAATTAATAAAGAGATGAACAGAGAAGTAACCATGCTAGTTATCCTTTCGTCAATATAGTTACATTGAAAAATGCGTAAGGTTAGTTGAAAACTTCTCTCCATAAAAAAGCGGCGAATTCCTTACGGTTAATGGCTTTTTGAATATATCCATCGTCCTGTTTGTTTTTAAATACGTTACGGAATCTGAATTATACCTCCATCCTCACGTAAAAATTATACTCAGTTAGGTGCAACCGATACAGCTAGTCCCTATCAGAGGACACCGGAAACATTTCTTGACCATTTCAGTGGCTATCAGTTTCGTAAGAAAGACTCTGCTGTATATAGGCAGTTCATATTGTCACGTATTCGGGGTTTGCGTGAGTAATAATAAAGGGTTCTCGTTCGGAGCCCGAATATGTAGATTACCACCTCGAATATTTAGACGTCATTCTGTCCGTTGCCACGGGAATCTTGATTAAATCTTCCTTGACATGAGAACGCGTTTTAGCAAGCCGTTGCCTAGCAGTGGAATTTTCGCTCTGGCTCCACTATTCCAGCTTTCAGGCCTAGCAATGTTTATATTCATCACAATATGATAGGACTACTTGTTTTGCAGGTATGCCTACACAGGCCGTCCCGTTGTTGTGACTGACGCCATGGAGAACTGGACAGCGCAGCACGTGTTCAGCTTCCAGTTTTTCAAGGAAGTGTACGAAGAGAGTCCCCTTATGGGGTGCCAGTTCTTCCCGTATGAGACGGAGTTCACACAGCTGCGCGAGGTGTTCAACATGAGCCAGGACCGCGCGCACATGAAAGACGGGACGAGACCCTGGTACATCGGCTGGTGAGTTAACTCCGCCACGCCTAGAAACATATCGCTACGGAACATGACGCTGCTTCTCTACTTACGAGATAAGCTATAACACAGGATCCGTCGCTTCTAATGTCTTCAATTGCAATTATTCATTTTAGCCATCATATCCTTGAGGGATTCGAGATTCTCGGAGCGATTACTATGAAATTTGCTGTATTATGGAATTTGGTTCCATGTCGTCTGCTAGGTATTTGCACACATTTTCGAGGAATACTTTTTTCGTATTCAAGAAAATGTAAGAAAATGTGAAAATGGAAGCACGAGACTACAGGGCGGTGGATAAAGAATACGGCCTTCAGTAATGGTTGCTGCGAAGCTTTTTAATACGTCATCAAGTACTGGTCCTCCATCTTGGGGTGTTTAGTCATTTGGCTGATAACCGCTTACCATGAACCGTCAACCCGTTGCGAATGCCACACCGCCTTGTGACTTGAATTTTTTACGAGTTAAGCAGTGGAAACAGGACTCAAGGTTTGGAATTTTGGACTTACGCGAATTCCTACAGGGCACGTTCACTGAACACAGTAGCAAAGTGTAAACTGGAGGGGACAAGGGTGGCAATTCCGTATCACAGATTGCACATTTCTCTGCGGATAAATGACAATACTCATCCTAACAGTTTCCATTCTTCACGTAGTTAGCAATCATCGCTTAAGAAGTTAACCTCTTTATAACAGGATAACATTACATTAATGAAAGGTGATTAGTCTAATACTGCTTTTGTGAACGTGCATGCCGCAGGTTCTAGGCAGTCGGCTCACAGATGGCGGTGAGGTCAGCCTTACGCGCCGGCCACCCTTTACCTCCCAGGAATATTTCTAGTATTCATTTCTATTACAGGCTGAGTCGACCCCAGGATCATAGTGCGGTTGGAAAGATTAGATAAATTGAAACCCCAATGACCTCATCGGGATTCGATCCCGCGACCTTCCTCCTTGTCGCATAGTGCCTCAACCAACTACCGTACCGGGTTCCTCCACTCTTTTCGCACCAGATGCTGTAATTATTTGCAGTGTATATTTTTTGGTGCACAGAGAAAATAGAGAAGGTTGAATCCTATCTGTGTGCACCTTTAGTCATTGTCAATCGTTCTCGTCTTCATCTGATTCCATTCATCTCATAACTTTCTTTCATTTCTCTGTTGACTACTGAGGCAAAACGATAAGGCCTTAGTATCTTTTGCTGCCTACGTCATCTTTCATAAAGATGGATGAAGGCTGTTAAATACCGCCCCACCCAGTACAAATACTTTTATTGAGAAAAAATGAAATATATCTTTTTGTAAATGAAGTCTGTCCTGCAATGTTCTTTTCTTTTTGTGATTGAAGATGTAAAGGATACAAGGATTTTCTGCTTCGTAACCCACCATGCGTAACGAGCGGGCCTTTCATAATACGGTAGCACGTCATGTTAAGAAAGTCCACACATTTTATGAAACCTGAAAGTTCACAGCAACCAGCCATAGGTCCATCTTCCTGGCTGGATTAATGAAGCTTGTACCGCCATATCTTGCTCTTTTAAGATAAGTTTTCGTATTATTTTCCCATATACGCCAGAATCTCCTAAGGACACTTTTTCGTTCTGGTTTTCCGACTAAAATTCTGTATGTACTTCTCACCTCTCCTATGCACGCTGTATGTCCTCACCAATCAAAATTCCTTCTTTGATTATTTTCTTAATGAAATTTCGTCCATCATCCTGTAGCTTCTATTCTGGTACTCGTAAATCCTCCCTGCTATATTTGCTCGTAAATATTACGCCCAGCATCCTGTTCTCAAACATATTCTACTTATTTCCTTCCCTTAATTTTAGACACTAAGATTCAAGTCCATAGAAAATAGCAACTAAGATTATAATGTGGCATATATGCCGTTTCTAAGCAACGGCTAGGTAAACACTGCGTAAAAACAGCAACGAACAAGCGGAAGTCAATTGCTAGGCAAATGGTCTCTAAACAAATCCCCACAACACACTAGCACGCAACAATAAGACGTCTATTGGTAGGCAAACGAGTGGTAAAGAAGCTTCGTCAACATCAGAGGCCGTGTTTTCTCTGTGGTTCACGTGGAGTCTGTATAACGACAGCCAGTAGCTGAGATTGGTTCAGAGTTTAGAGTTAAATTCTCTACCGGAAGCTGCGAAGAAAAGAGTTAGTTGCAAGAGTGCAGATGTGAAGAAATGTACGATATAATATTTGGAATGTGTAATTCAGTGAAGACATTTAAAGGCGTAGCCATTGTTGAGATCTGTTACCTAGCAACGACAAGTGTAAACAGACGTTGAAGACATTATGTGTGTGTTATAATTACACCATTCCTCAGAATGTTATAATGATTTGCAGTTACGATCTATGAGTGGTCAATAAATCCAGTTACTAATCCGAACCCCGTCTTTAGTCACTGAAACACGTGGCAATATTTTTCTACATTTCGATCTTTATGGTTTTTAAGTAGACAGGAGATGGGGCCGCATCAAGGAACTATAAAGCAATAATTCCGCATTTCCGTATCACGGCTACATCGCACGCAACAAATTGCATTTCGCATCTTTACGTATTTTGATGTACGGCACTGGTCCGTGCAGTATGCTGACAGGCTAACATACGCCTGTTAGAATACATGGCAGAAAGGTCTTTTCATAGTGGGAATATTAAACAGCATTAAAAAAGCAGTTTGATGTAGCGATGAAGCTCAATATTTTTATTTTGGTCGTGTTCGGTTCTAATATCTGCCGAGACACAAATTATCTTGACCAATGTTTTCGTGAATTTCCTCACCCGCTCTTGGCAATTGATGGGATATTACTTCAATCAGTGCAGACCTTTTCATTTCAGATCCTGCCTAACATATTATTCGTCAGTTTGTCCGCCATTCGACTTTATATAGTCTAAATACAAACAGCGTTGTTAAAGAAGCAAAAAAAAAAAAAAAGACAGACGTTAGCAATTAACGTTGATATTCAAGAAATTTTGCTCGAGTATGTTGAAGTGGTAAGGGCGTTTATGCTGTTACTCTTTATCTCATTCATGAACCTATGAAAAATGCATTGCTTGTCCCTTAACCGGAATATCTTAAGGCTAGTTTATCTATCTTTAAACGTTGAGAACGTGGACCCAATTATTTATTGTGACAATCTGCTGTTGTAAAATTCTTCATCCAGTATACGTCCATGTCTAAATCGTGATTCTTACTCACTCACTCATGGAGTGAGGAGCCGCCAATTGTGCAGCTACTCAAGAATTTCCCAGCATTTTATGGAACCCGAAGGTTCATTACCGTATTCACAAGAGCCCTCCACTGGTCCCTATTCTGAGTCAGATCAATGCAATCCTTACCATCCCATCCTATTTATCTAAGATCCATTTTATATTGTCCACCCACCTACGCCTTGGTCTTCCCAGTAGTCTCTTTCTTACTGCCTTTCCTACCATTACCTTATATGCATTCCTCTTCTCCCCCCTTCGTGCTACATGCCCTGCCCACCTCATCCTTCTTGACTTGATCCTTCTAAATATACGTACTTGGAGAAGAGTGCAAGTTATGAAGCTCTTGATTATGCAGTTTTCTCCAACCTCCTGTCATTTCATTTCTCTTCGGAAATCGTAATATGCAGTACTTAATTATATCAAGTACGAAAATAAAATGTAATCGAATTTTCATTTATATGCTATGTCAGAAATTACTTCATTATATTTTCGTGTTCGTTCGTGGGTTTTAGGAAAAGCAGGTTCATCTCAACAGCGGTTCGGTTCGAAAGCCTGTCGGTACTGATATATTCACAACAATGTCTCCTAATGAATTTTTATATTGCTGTTTCACTAATTTCTGTTTTTTACTAAATCATATTTGCTTTAAAATTTGTACTGAATATGCTGAATTCCAATTTCTAATGAAACTCTCTTTCTAGTAGCATAATCGGTTTTAAATTTTGTATAGGCTTAATATTCTTAGTAAGTTATAGAGACACGCGGAAACAGCGTTGGTTGAGGTATTATGCTAAAAGCCAGAAGGTCGCAAGTTCGAATCTCAATGAGGTTAATGTATTTTTCAATTTACCTAATCCTTCAAGCCGCACTATGCCCCTGGTGTCGGCTCAGCCTCCAACAGAAATGAGTACTAGGAATCTTTCTGGGACAAAGGGCGGCCGGTGCGTAAGGCTGAAAACCTCACCGCCATGTGTGAGCTGATTTTCTAGAAGACGTAGAAGCCTCGACGTCTCAAAACCCTATGGGACTCCATGGCCTGTTACAGGGATAGATTTACCTTTATGTTTTAGTAAGTTATGTTTTATAACTACCATCGTTTTTAAAATATCATGATATTTGTTTACATATGCACTCCCACCCCTGAGCATAGCTCAGTCCGTTCCACTGTTTCATTCTTCTCTGCTCCGTAGCGAAGGGCAGTTTCGGCTCCACTGGTGTGCTCATTTCCATTTGTGTGGGGGCTGGCTTCCCTCAGCTCCTAATGCGATAAAGCTCAGTACACCGTCGGAGGGGAAGTGGTGCAGCGGGACGGTGGAAAGTCTATAATGAAGACACTCCGATCGACACCTGGGGCCCAAGCAGCTTTCCACTTGACTATCCAGCGAAATATATGTAATATAATTGAGGTCTTTCCAATAATTAATCTGTCTGCAATAGATAAGACCTTAGTGTAAGACCGAAATTGTTAATTTATTCCCTTCATTTGTACAGAAACATTATGCACTACTGTCCGAGTTACTACTATCAGTTATAACTTAAAGACACTATGCTGACGTGCACACAGAGTGAGTAGTTGGAATACCACCCGAGAAATCGCCTATACTGATTATAATTTTGCTTTATTATTTTTTACTTTCTCCGCCAGTCGAGCTGACTATCAGGGTAGAAAAGCTTTCTTTCCTACTGATCGTGCAGCCTACACAGCTGCAATTCGTCTTGATTTCTTCTGCTTGGGACTTAGGCTCTTTATTTCCTGTCCGGCACA